GGGGGGGGGAGGTCGTGCATGTGGCGCGCGCAGACAATGTCACTCGATATGTCAGCCAACGCGCCCATTCTCCGTACCTGTCAACTGACCGGCTGGGACGGTGGCTGAGGTCTGGGAAAGAGAAGCGAGAGTAAGGTCGATGACTCGGCGCATTTTCGTCACTATAAACAATCTGAGGCGCTTGAAGCTATCACAGTGTGCTAAAAGCCGTGGCTTGGAAGGTTATCAACTGATGAGACAACTTGAAACTCGCAGTTGGCCCAGTGTTGTGTGCATTTGTGTGGAGCGGCCGACTGGTGGTCTCGGAGTCAGGCTGCAATGGCTCCTTCTTAATGTGGCCTCTGTAGCACTCCCACTTCGTGGCATCGGCGTCGGGTGTGACGGCACGCCTAGGTGGGGCTTCGGCTGTGCTAGCCTCCATTCTTTCGTCGGTGTTGATTGAAATGCTGGTAAAGTGTGTGTTGTGGACCAGGGGAGGTGGAGTGGAGCGCCAAGGTGCGGGTCCGGCCGTGCCAGCTACCTGCGCCCTCCCCCACCTCCGGTCTTCCTGACTCTGTCTTGACATCGGGTCCAGGTGGGGAGTGGGGGGGGGGAGAGAGAGCGGTGGATGCTGTGCATGCCCGATGTCACTTTAACCTAAATCGCGCGCAAATCATGGTGTGCTGCAACTTGCTGTGGAGCACACGATGGACATCGTCGACAACGACAGTCAATCTGCCGATTAGTAAATCTATACTGCAGAAAAGAGCGGGGAAATGATGTGTTGGCTGTCGAATGTCAGAAGGTGCTCGAAATGCTCGTGTTGGCGCTGGAACTTGGTCAAGTTGGCAGCAATATGGCGACCATTTACCTCACAAACCGGAAGACCAATCGCAGTATGCTTAGCATTAATGCGGTAAATAATTTCGTAGAGATTTCGAGAAACACTCACTTTTGAGTTTCGATCAGTACTTTTACAGTTATTTCTGGCCGATTGGATTTATTGTTATGGGACCCAGCTGAAGCCGTCTGGTCAAGCGACTGTAGGGTTATTTTCGCGATACTGAATGAATTCGACGGCCTTCTGAGCTGCGTCGTGGAATGAAGACTTCACTGATGCTGATTTAATGCAACCGTCTCCTACGACCCAGGTCGTCAGTCCACACCGGATTCATCTGCTCAATGCCGTAACTGTATTCCTTTTGTCCTAACAGTAAGGCGTAATACACGTGAAAATTTGTGTGCGGATGAGGAGTACAATTTTGGGAGCATGTAAATGAGAACACGATATGCCCTGCACCCATTCTTACTCGCGGCACCGCTCATTGGTCTGCTATAATGAAACCAGATGGTGAACTTTGAATTAAGTCGGATTTAGACAATCTGACTGGTCATCTGACCATCATTTGAGTGCCAGACCAGTGGACGCTTGTGGTGGTGTTGAAAGCGCGCTGGCGACAACTAGCCTGCTCCGGTCAGTCAAGATCAACATTCCTTCATCTCTATGGCGTCGACAGCCAAG